GCAGCGGCACCGCGACGCCCGCGGCGCCTGGAGGAGGGAGTGGGACGCCCAGAAACCCGACGGGATGTGGGTCTGGGGGAAAAAATGGGAATTTGGGGAAAAAATCAAAATTTTGGGGTGTTTGGGGAAAAAAAACGGGGATTTAGGGAAAAAAATGGGGGTTTTAGGGCAAAAAATGGGGTTTTTAGGGCAAAAAATCGGATTATTAGGGCACAAAAAATGGGATTATTGGGGCACAAAAAATGAGGTTTTTATTGGAGGAGAAATGGGATTTTTGGTAAACTGAAATGGGATTTTGGGCAATGAGAAGTGGGATTTTAGAATTTGGGAATTTTGGGGTTTGGGATTTCAGAATTTGGGATTTCAGAATTTGGGATTTTGGGGTTTGGGAATTTTGGGGTTTGGGAATTTTGGGGTAAATTTTAGGTTACAATTTGGGTGAATTTGCGTTTTTCAGGTGAATTTTGGGATAAATTTTGGGTGAATTTGGGTTCTTCAGGTGAATTTTGGGGTGATTTTGGGATGAATTTTGGGGTGAATTTGGGTTTTTCAGATGAATTTTGGAATGAATTTTGGGATAAATTCTGGGATGAATTTTGGGGTGAATTTGGGCTTTTCAGGTGAATTTTATGATAAATTTTAGGATAAATTTTGGGTGAATTTGGGTTTTTCAGATGAATTTTGGAATGCATTTTGGGCTAAATTCTGGGGTGAATTTTGGGTGAATTTGGGTTCTTCAGGTGAATTTTGGAATGCATTTTGGGATAAATTTTGGGGTGAATTTTGGGGTGAATTTGGGTTTTTCAGATGAATTTTGGGGTGAATTTGGGGTAAATTTTGGAATGCATTTTGGGCTAAATTTTGGGGTGAATTTGGGTTCTTCAGGTGAATTTTGGAATGCATTTTGGGATAAATTCTGGGTGAATTTGGGTTTTTCAGATGAATTTTGGGGTGAATTTGGGGTAAATTTTGGGGTGAATTTTGGGGTGAATTTTGGGGTGAATTTGGGTTTTTCAGATGAATTTTGGAATGCATTTTGGGCTAAATTTTGGGGTGAATTTTGGGGTGAATTTTGGGGTGAATTTGGGTTCTTCAGGTGCATTTTGGGGTGAATTTGGGTGAATTTGGGGTCCCAGCTGTGCCCTTCCCCCCCAGGTTCTCGGGGGTCCCGGAGGGGGGAGGGGCCCCCCCAGGCCCCCCCCCGCCCCTCCCCCACCCCCCGCGCCGGGGCCGAGGGGGGGGGAGGGGCCGCCCCTACAGGTGAGGGGATTGGGGAAAATTCGGGCA